TTAAAGCAGAAATGGTAGATATAGAGCTGTCGTTGAATAGATTGTTAAGTACTTTAATATTGTATTGGTGACGACTGGCGGTTACTTGGGTAATTGTCTTGCTCGTGTGCGCATGGACCAAGCCGAAGCCCAATCCCTTCTTCTCCTGAGATGCATGTTAACAGCATAGCTTAGTGCCTTCTGTTATTTGGATGGAAGTCTTGGAACGCTGCAAGCCCTCACAGTAGATACTGAGACGACCAATAAAATGGCCTCTATTCATCCATGCAGGCGGATGAGCATGATATTACGTCAACGTTAACTGATAGTGGGTTTGGGAAAGCATATCTCGCATCTGGAAGTGTGATACAAACTTCGGATTGGTCTAAATAGATAATACGTAGCACGGTTTGGGGCGTAATGATAAAATACCTTAAGTAATAGTACAATCGGCCAGTCTTTTAGCACAAATTCAGCAACCATCTAACTTTCCAATAAATGCGCCTCATTATTTCATGTTGTGGTAGTAGCTCAACTCCATTTACTTGAATTTTATACCTATTACTAAGTGTCCTAACTGCTTCTGGTAGTCAATGCCAGATTTGCTGCGGTTGATCGTGGCTTCTTATTTAGCCAATGGCACTCGAGAACGCTAGTATAACTGTGGATTCCGCCTTGCTGTACACCTTTCGTTTTCTCTTCCAACTGAGGGCCTACGTTGCATTCAAAGATGTCTTCATCAATGCCTATAAAGTTTCAGGAGCATTTGCAAGTATGTTTGTGCTATTTAAACTAGTGATTATGAACATACTAACACATGCAACAATTTTCTGCTAGCTACTGAATGTTGGCATACAGCCTACCAGCATCGGATTCAATTCCCTGACAATGGAATCCGACAAGTTCATTTGTGTTCGTGAAAAAGTCGGCGACAACCAATACGCCGTTGTCATAGACATGAACGACCCCACCAACCCTACGAAAAGACCCATCACGGCCGATTCCATTATTATGAATCCTGTCAGTAAAGTAATGGCACTTAAATCGGGAAACGTGCTACAAATCTTCAATATCGAACTCAAAACCAAAATGAGCATGCATAAGATGCCCGAACCCGTTATCTTTTGGAAGTGGATTAATCCTAATACAATTGCGCTGGTAACGGCCGGGTCTGTCTACCACTGGTCTATTGAAGGTATGCGGCGTCTGTGTATTGCTCCTAGTTTTAGAAAACTCCACCCCTGTCAAGATGTTTGACCGACATTCTTCCTTGGCTGCCGCTCAAATAATCAATTATCGAACTGATGAAAGCTGCAAATGGTTGCTTTTGATAGGTATTTCTGTCCAAGATAATCGGGTTATTGGCTCGATGCAACTCTACAGTGTTGATCGCAAAGTCAGTCAACCCATTGAGGGTCATGCAGCCGCGTTCGTACAGTACAAAGGCGAGGGACAGCCAAATCCGACAACATTGTTCTGTTTTGTTGCCAGGACTGTTCAGTCATGCAACCTTCACATAATTGAGGTGGGCCAACCTCCCGAGGGTAACCAACCCTTTACAAAGAAGAACCTCGATGTTTATTTCCCACCAGAAGCTCTCAATGATTTCCCTGTGGCCATGCAAGTAGGGTTAACCAGTCCTTTTTGGCTTACTCTCTTAAGGCATCTCAAAAGTACGCAGTTGTCTTCCTCATTACTAAGAACGGTTATCTCCATATTTATGACATTGAGTCTGGTACTTGTATTTATATGAACCGCGTCAGTAATGAAACCATCTTCGTAACTGTTCCGTATGAGGCTACATCCGGTATCATGGGTGTTAACCGCAAGGGGCAGGTTTGTCGTTGCTACTTTGTCTACTCAGTTTTTAGGTCCTCTCTGTGAGTATTGATGAGGAAAACGTCGTAAATTACATTAAAGGGACACTTAATAATCCATCACTCGCCTTTCGATTTGCTGCCAGATGTGGTCTTCCAGGTGCAGAGGACCTGTTCATCAAAAAGTTTGAGTCGCTTTTTCAGGCTGGTCAGTATAGCGAAGCCGCCAAAGTGGCTGCTAGCGCGCCAAATGGTATTCTACGAACGCCTCAAACCATTCAGAAGTTTCATCAGGTCAGTTATCTTTGCTATTGCTTTATTTCATTATTAGGTCCCAAACACAGCGGGTCAAACGTCGCCTCTGTTTCTCTACTTTGGCATTCTAATCGATCAAGGTCAACTGAACAAATACGAGAGTCTAGAGCTCTGCCGACCCGTCTTGCAGCAGGCTCGTAAGCACCTCATTGAAAAATGGCTCAAAGAAGACAAGCTTGAATGCTCAGAAGAATTGGGTGATCTCGTCAAACAAGTAAGCTCACTTGATGTCCTCTTTTCTTCAAAGTGGGGTCGAGTTTTAACGTTTTCTTGCGCCTCTGTCAGGCCGATCCAACTCTGGCTTTGTCAGTATACCTTCGTGCAAATGTGCCCCCGAAGGTTGTTCAATGCTTTGCGGAAACCGGTCAATTCCAAAAAATTATTCTCTACTCCAAGAAAGTCAACTACTCACCTGAGTATATCTCCCTACTGCGCAATCTGACTCGCATCAATCCCGACCAGGGCTTGCAGTTCGCTCAAATGCTTGTGCAGGATCAGGAACCTTTAGTCGATCTCGAGCAAGTGGTTGATGTTTTCATGGAACAGGGTCTTGTTCAACAGTGTACCTCCTTCCTTCTTGACGCTTTGAAGCACAATCGTCCCTCGGAGGGTCATCTTCAGACTCGTCTCCTTGAAATGAATTTGATGTCAGCGCCACAGGTTGCCGATGCTATTTTGGGTAACCAAATGTTCACCCATTACGACCGAGCTGCTGTTGCTCAGCTCTGTGAAAAGGCTGGTCTTTTGCAACGTGCCTTGGAACATTATACCGATCTCTATGACATAAAACGTGCCGTTGTCAATACTCATCTTCTTAGTCCTGAGTGGCTTGTGAAGTACTTCGGCTCGCTGTCGGTCGATGATTCGCTGGAGTGTCTTAAAGCCATGTTGCAGGCGAATATTCGTCAAAATCTGCAGGTCTGTGTTCAGATCGCTACAAAGTACCACGAGCAGCTCGGCACGAATGCTCTTATTGAGATTTTCGAGTCTTTTAAGTCGTTCGAGGGTCTCTTCTATTTCCTCGGCTCTATTGTTAACTTTTCACAAGATCCTGAGGTTCACTTTAAGTACATTCAAGCCGCCTGTAAAACTGGACAGGTTAAAGAAGTTGAACGAATCTGCCGCGAAAGTAACTGCTACGATCCTGAACGCGTCAAAAATTTCCTCAAGGCAAGTTTTTTTGTTTCTGCAATGGATTTTTGTCCGGTTGTTAATCGGTTTTTTGTTTTAGGAGGCCAAGCTTACTGACCAATTACCTTTGATAATTGTTTGCGATCGTTTCGACTTTGTTCACGACCTTGTTCTCTATCTATATCGCAACAACCTGCAAAAGTATATCGAAATCTACGTGCAGAAAGTCAACCCAGCGCGTTTGCCTGTTGTGGTGGGCGGTCTGCTTGATGTTGACTGTGCGGATGAT